TTAAGACAAATTGGTGTTTTTTAACAGATTTCCCAACTCGGCTGGCAGGCACAAATGTAATTTCCATCACATATAAATATTTGTCATTTATTCTAAAATACTATGATACACATAATGTTTTTTCACTGGAAGAACAATTTCATATATAGTTTTAACTGTTTATGCCTTTAATGTTAAACACATACATTTATGGATTAGGTAAATTAATTGTGATGAGGACAAGACGCGAATCTTATGTCCGCCATAACCTAAGATATAGCATTGGAATCGCAAGATACATTTCAAGGTGTAAATACTTGTGTTTTTAATTAAAGTGGAACATTATCTCTTAAGTTATGAAGAAGGTTTTAATGAGTGATTAACAATTTATTTAAAAACAAATGGTGTGGTGGAAATTACACTGCATGGTGGAAATTACTGGTTGTTGTGGAAATTACAATTAATGGACCATACAGACAACAAACCTTTCTTTTTAAAAACTTTATGGAGCATAATAGTAAATAATAATGATAAATAAATACATCATTAAATAATAATAAATTAATTGCAGTTGTGCATAGGTGGTACTAAGGGTGAGAGAGAGGGAGTGGCACCACCGCAAAATGCTTAGCATGTAAATTATACATGTAAAAGCCAGTAAATTAGAATATTTTGAAAAACTTGATTTATTTCAGTAATTGCATTCAAAAGGTGTAACTTGCACATTATATTTATTAATAGGCTCTATGCACAGCTCCACTACTTCCTGAATTTAAGGCAGCTCCTTTGTTTCCTGTCTTTCATGATTGGATGCACTGATTAATCCAGGTGTGTATGACCTAAGTAACTGGCCAGACACACCTGGATTAATCAGTTCGTCCAGTAATGAAAGACAGGAAACAAAGGAGCTGCCTTAAATTCAGGAAGTAGTGGAGCTGTGCATAGAGCCCATTGCACACAGACTGATGCATTCAAATGTTTATTTTGTTTAATTTTGATGATTTGAAGTGGCAACAAATATAAATCCAAAATTCCATGTGTCACAAAATTAGAATATTACTCAAGGCTAATACAAAAAAGGGATTTTTAGAAATGTTGGCCAACTGAAATGTATGAAAATGAAAAATATGAGCATGTACAATACTCAATACTTGGTTGGAGTTCCTTTTGCCTCAATTACTGCATTAATGCGGCGTGGCATGGAGTCGATGAGTGTCTGGCACTGCTCAGGTGTTATGAGAACCCAGGTTTCTCTGATAGTGGCCTTCAACTCTTCTGCGTTTTTGGGTCTGGCATTCTGCATCTTCCTTTTCACAATACCCCACAGATTTTCTATGGGGCTAAGGTCAGGGGAGTTGGCTGGCCAATTTAGAACAGAAATGCCATGGTCCGTAAACCAGGGACGGGTAGATTTTGCGCTGTGTGCAGGCGCCAAGTCCTGTTGGAATCTGAAATCTCCATCTCCATAGAGCGGGTCAGCAGCAGGAAGCATGACGGCTGCGTTGACCCTGGATCTCAGGAAACAGAGTGGACCGACACCAGCAGATGACATTGCACCCCAAACCATCACTGATGGTGGAATCTTTACACTAGACTTCAGGCAACGTGGATCCTGTGCCTCTCCTGTCTTCCTCCAGACTCTGGGACCTCGATTTCCAAAGGAAATGCAAAATTTGCTTTCGTCAGAAAACATGACTTTGGGGCAGTTGAAACCCATGTCTTTCAAGCGTCTCTTGGTGGTGGATCTTGAAGCACTGACTCCAGCAGCTGTCC